TTTTTTTTTTTTTTTTTTTTTTTAAGAGAAATAGAAGTACTTTAGCCTGGAGACCTGCAATTTCTAATGGAAATATAGTGCCCATAATATACAATTTAGTGATGTTTCCCTTTCTCCCCCGTGCACTGTTCATGAGCATCTCTTCACTGCCACACACATGAACGGGGCTTGGCCACTTGTCATTTTCCTGAAAAGATACCAGACTCTGGTACCTGGGGAAGGTAGTACTGGTTGGCACATGTGCTGGTATTTTATGAGGAATACTATGTATATCCTTATTTGCCTTACCTTATTAATATACTAGGGGGAAAAAAGAGACCCCTAATTTAGACTTACTTGGCTGGATTCAAGGCCTCAGGAACACTATAGACATTTGCTTAATTTCTAAAGAGGGAACTGAGGTATACGTATATACATGCGTTCATAGACATATATATGTGTCTTTGTATACATACCCAAGTGTAAGTATAAGTGTATATACATGCACACATATACATAAATACATGTAGCCCCTGACACATGATATGTGATTATAGTCAAACGAGTCTGTGGTAGCTTGATTGGACATGTAGCCGACGGGCTGTCTTATCTGTCATATTCCTTTCTGACTCTTTCTGACTCAGATTCTGAGAGTTGGAAAAAACTCACTATTTGCAATAAAATCTTCAGCTCAAGTGCAAGAATTATATCTCCTGAAGGTGCTTGCTTAAATATCCCCTCTGGTGTGAGCTTTGGAGGGTGGGGGTGGTGCCTCTGGAACAGTCATTCAGAAGAGGTTTATTGAGCGCCAGTATGTGCAAGGCTTTGTGGAGTTGTAAATGCGAGAAGCTAGTTGTCCCACGCTTGAGGAGCTTTCTAAGGAAGAGCTGAGAGAGTAGCCTGAGTACTTTGAAGTAGGAAGTTGTAAAGGGGCTCAGCAGAGTTAGAGCAGAGGCTTCCCCTGAGGTTATGAAGGAAGGCTCTCTGTATTTTCTGATCTGAACGGATAGGATTGAGATGGTGGCTTCAGGAATCATTGTTGGTGAAAGAAACAGCTTTTAAGTCAAAAAGTTCTTCATTTTCTTTACTATGTGGAGGTAAAATCTTCATTTGTCATGGTCATAGTAGCTTGGGAGTTAAGAGCTTGAGCTCAGTTAGATCTCAGTTTGAGATGGGGTTCTGCTTTTGCTATTAGCTGTTGGACCTCCTGAGCCTCAGTTTTTTCATCTGTAAAGTGGGGCCAGTACTACTGACTTCAGAGGGTTATTGTGAGGATTAAATAATATTTGAAAGTGCACTCAACAGTGCCTGGTGTGTAGGAAGAATAGATGTGAGCTGGTTTTATTATTATGTAACTTCTGTCCACTGGTATAGTTCTGTTCTCTGGCATTTGAAATCTTTTCCTCTTTCTATATGGAAACTTTTCAAATATTTAAAGAGAATTATGTCTTTTCTGTTTTCTTTTCAGTCTAAAGGTTTCCTTTTAGGTGATGGCTTCCAAATATTTGTGTGTTATATGTATAATGTAGTGGTTCTTAACCAGGGGCAGTTTTGTTCCCCAGGGGGTATTTGGCAGTGTTTGGAGACATTTTTGGTTGTCACAACTAGGAGGCTGCTCCTGGCACCTAGTGGGTGGAGCCCAGGGATGCCGCTAAACATCCTACAGTGCACTGGACAGCTCCCCACACAAAGAAGTATTCTGTCCAAAATATCAGTGCTGATGTTGAAAAACCCTGGTCTACTAGACTTAATTATTAACCTTTTTCTTTTCCTTGTATCCCTAATGGTTGGGAATAGCAGCATGAGGTACTAAGAAAACTGCATAAAGATTCAGAAGGGGATGAGACCAAACTCTGTGACTTCTGGCAGATTTGTTAATCTCTTAAATAAAACTGCCTCCTTTGAAAGAGGAATTGTAAAGAATGAGAAGAATTTGAATCCCAAAGAAAGATGATCCTGGAATGGCTTTTATTAATTATGCAGCCACATGTGTAATTTTTACTTCACTCTTGAGGAACATGAAGGATTATATTGACTCATTAGACTCTTTCCATCAGTGAGGAGGAAATAAATTTTTTTTTGTTGCTGTTTTACTGAAGGTGAAAAAGGGAAGACATAGTTAAGTAAGATAGCTGGTGAAGTTGAATATCCAGTCAGTGGCAGAGCTGGAAACAGACGGCAGCCAGCTCCAGCCTGGAAGGCCTGTTCTCCCATCTGACTGCTTGGTGGACTTGAGTGTTCCTCAGATTATAAAGCAGCTGTCCAAAGTGCTTCTGTTTCTGGGTTTCATGAGGGCTGTATCTTGCAGGGTTCAGTTGAGTTAACATTTTCTGGATAAGGTGAGGTCCATATGGAAAGAATTCCACAAGAATGATAATTTTTTAAAGTGGGAATACAGAAATGATGGACTTGGGCAAGAGCCCTGGTTTAGCAGTTAGGACGCGGGACTGCTGCTACCCAAGTCCCTGAGTAGGTCACATGACTAAGCCTGCTGTGAAACTGGAGAGAGGAGTTATTTGGTCTTAAGCAGATGAGATTCTGAAAAAGGAGGGGTAAGTGGAATTTTAATGAAAAGAATCCTTTAAAATGTGCCGAGGAAACATACCACATAGAGATCCTTAAAGGTAAAATATCTTTTGGCAAACTGATACATTGTTTTGGGGATAAATCTGGCTGTTCATAAATTGGATCTTCTAAAAGGAGGATTGTAAGGGAAAACTATTTTTATCCTCTACTTTCAATACTTCTGACACCAGATGTGTGGGTTTTTCTCACCACACCAAGTAATTCTCCAATTCTCAGTGGATGTTCACTGGTGTCCTACAAATGTAACTCAATTCTGACACTGTCTTGGTGGTGATAGCATCAAATCACACAGGTTAAGGGCTCAATCCCACAAGACTCCCCTCCACCCCCTCAGGTGCCAGTCACAAGTCCCAGTTGTAAGTCCAGGTCACTCATACCTCTGGTTTCCCAGACCCCCTCCTGGGATCTGATATTTTGCTAAAATTATGTCTTATGAAGCTCAGGGAAACATTTACTTACATTTACCAGTTTACAATAAAGGATATTATAAAAGATACAGATGAACAGCCAGATGAAGAGGTACATAGGGCCAGGTCCAGAAGAGTCCTGAAATAGGAGCTTCTGTTGTGGTGGAACGGGGTTTTGTTACTCTCCCAGAATGTGGATTTTTTTTTTTTTTTAACCAACCTGGAAGTTCTCTCCTTGTTCAAGAGTTTTTATAGGGCTTAATCTCTAGGCACACCTTGACACCCCCCCCCCCCCCCCCCCCCCCCCCCCCAACCACGCAGGACGAGCAACAACAATCCACTCAACA